AATTAAAGTGACAATTATGTTGAAAAAAATTCATCCAAAATAATTCAAAACAAACTTCTCACAAAGAACATTGAAATTTTCACAGGAATCATAGAGTTTTATTTCTCATCAACGTGGCTCAGTAATAAAACAGTTACCCCGTTTCGACACTTTTTAGCCATGTGTCTCTGCCATTCATTGTCATTTCTTGTTCTCTTTCGACCTCTTGGTGGATTGTTACTTTCCATGTTTAATGTCATAGCTTAACTTATTACTTTAATACACTATTTTCAAGAAACTGAAAAAGCCGGGTACGTTGAACGTGTATTCAATATTAGGTTAGGGTGCGTGGCAGTTGGGGCGGCGCAGCTCTGTCATTGTTTACATATTGCGTCTATACGAAAATGACTGTACCTTGACTAATTCTGAACGGATTGATCTGAAAATTTGTACAAAACTTCTTCCAACCTAGAGGAACAACTTTGTCGCTGCACGTTTTGCCAAGCTGAAACTTCCCAGCACACTTTTTTTCGTTAAAGTTTGCAAGTTAGGTATATAGTGCACTGCCTATTTTTTATTAAATATTTATTTATTGTGATTAGTTTCCCAAACTTTGATCATTTCATCAGAAGCGCTAAAGTATTCTACGCGTCCATACCAAATTTCGAATGGTTTCGAGCATAAATAACTGAGATACGGCGATTTATGTTTTAAAAAACTACTGAATCTAGGTGTTTGAAAAAAAGGGTTTTTATTTTTTATCTCAAAAGGTATAACTTGTTTTTAAAAGTTGTAAGTATAAAAAAGTTGTGTATTGTCATTTTTTTATAGCTTGTATTTTTTTCACCGATTCATAGACTAGAAAATCGTCCCCTAGGTCGTGAACTCATATTCCGTTTCGAGCGCTAAGCATGTTATTGCATCCGGCCCCTCAATTGTAAGTTGGGCTTTCAAAAACTGGTCATCCACAACATTAGATTGTTTTGATTTTTTCTGTGAATAAAACTAAAAATGTTATGTAAAGTGAAGTATTGCAATCGATAGAATAATTTAAAATTACGTTTTTTATCAGTTTTGAACCCTTAGAGTCTTAACAAATAATTCTTTTTGTACATTATAACATGAAAAAGTGCACATCAATAGCCCTTTTTGGCCAACAACTATTTTATGACGTAAAAAAGTACGGTATTTATTAGTATCATTATATTTTTTTTACTCTCATAAAGCTTATTATTTGACCAAAAATGCATAGATTCCAAGCAAATTTTTTTATTTTTTATTTTTATTGTAATTTTTTTGTTCCGAGAAATATCAATTTACAATAAGTATGAAATTTTTAACTCAAAATATTTTACATTACGTGTCAACACACTAAGGTTTTCTACTTAGTGAGTCTCGGGCAAAGCTAAGACAGGAGGGGGGCTATTACTGTACGAATATACCAAATAATTCATCAACTCCTAAAAGATAAGAAAATAATTGATGTAACCAGGATTTACAAAAGAAACAGCGATAATTTATATCAAGCTAAATAAGTTGAGCAAGATTTTTAGCCAAAGGAGTATTTAAAAAAAAATTTACTCGACAGTCAGTAAATGTAGACATTAAAAATCTTGTTGAATTATCGCTGCGTAAATAATTTATCAATGGAAAAAATGGATGCTGAATCAGAGTTTTTAAACCGTTTAATTGAACTAGAAGCTTTTGTCTATTAGCCTCAAGGTTATGGAACTGGTGAATACAAAGTACAGAAATTACAAAAGGCGTTGAAATAGTTTATTATGGTTTAAAAGAAATGATTAAATAAGACGTCTAATGACAGTTGGTAAATAATTGAAAACAACGTCCTATGGTGATACTGTCATATTTTGTACTTATTTAAAAACAAAACAACGTTGCGGCCGTTTGGACAACGTCCCGGCTCTCATCAGGTACAAAAATCAATGAGTAATGAAAATTCTTTAATATACAAGTTTTGATACAATACAATGAATGCAAATTAAGTTGAGTGTATAACATACCTCTGACTCTTGCAAAATGGATGTAGAATCGTAATGTAGAGTTTCAAGTTTAGTTGCTTTTATACTCTGCACATTCAAAAATGATATAGTACATGCATGCAATAAAATCAAATAATAATCGCAAGCAGTTCCTTGTGAGAAGCACATAAACAATACGTGTGTCCCTAATACTATAAATGAAAGAGGCCTTCCAAATTATGTACATAAAGTTAATCCTCTTTCCTGATTGACTTAACTAGAGATATCTAACAATTTTTCAATTTCTCGGTATCGTGTACTATGTCATTTGTGTATGTGCAGAGTATAAAAGCAGCTAAACTTGAAACTCTGACCACATTACAATTTTACATCCCTTTCGTAAGAGTCCGAGTTATGTTATACACTCAACTTACTTTGCGTTTGTTGTATTTCATCAAAATTTGTATCGTAAAGAATTTTTACTATTCATAGATTTTTTTACCTGATGAGGGCCGGGACGTTGTCGAAACAGCTGAAACGTTGTTTATATGTTAATAATAAAAGTACCGATCTTGCATGTATTTTGATATTCGTAGATAATTTATGAGTATGCAGTGGAAGTCTAAAAAAAAAAAACGAAATTAAAGCAAAATAAATGAAGGAACTTGTAATGGAAGACTTAAGCAAAATTTAAAATTATATGAGTATTGATGAGGTATACAATAAAAAAGAAAATATAATACCAAAACAACAAAAATGTATTGAATCACTGGCTAAAAAAAATAATTTAGAATGAGAAAAACCATACGAAACTCCTATGAAAATTAATTCAAAATAAATAAAAGCTGAAAACTATAATGAAAACATGAAACATCGAAATTCGATAAGATAATTTTTATACATTAGTACAGGCACAAGGACAGATATAACATATAGTGCCAATTATTAAAGTAAATTCCAAAACTGTTTGATAAATCACGTTGTAAATGTGCAATGCCAAATTTGAAATATTTTAATAAGACGAAAAATTGAATACTTGTAAGAGATAAGACGAATAAAATATCAAATTTTATAGTAGATTCTGATTATGCTAGTAACAATATAGATAAAAAGTCTACAATAGGATTTGTAATGTAATTGTATAACAAAGTAGTTTTTCGACACGCCGTGCGTGGAGACTCGATTATGAGCCATCTGTTGTGACTTTAAAAACCTCGATTTACACACGCACTCACACGAGTGCGCAGCAAGAGCTGTAAGTAGCGTCAAGGTCTTTTAAGACCCACATTAGATAGCTCATAATCTCGTCCTCCACGCACGCTGTGTCGAAAAGTTGTATGCACCACATGTGCGAGAAGTTATGTGATTGACACACGTGTGTCATCGCACAATCGCTGGCGCTCGTGTACGAACTGACACGCGTGCATCAATCGCCTTCGCCACGCACTAGTATCGTCATGTACATTGTTGAAGATACGTAAGAAAAGTAATGTAACAAAATTTTCGACAATTATAGAGTTTGCAGCATTATTTGAAGCTCCAACAGAAATACAACTTATTTAAAATCTATTGAAAAAAATATTTAAAATAAATTTTGACAAGCTAATAAGCGTGTATCAAGATAATTTAGGAGCAGTACATACAGCAAAATTTGATAATTTAATAAAAATCTTTGTATCATATTAAAGTGTAATACCGTTACGTAACTAAAAATTATGAAAAAGGAAATATTGGTGTAACAAAAATTCATTAAAAAAAATTTGGCTGATATGCTAACTAAAAGTCTATGTAAAGAAAAGTTCATAAAAATCAGAAGAATATTAAGATTAAGTAACTAAAAGAATTTAAAAAATTAAAATTCAAGTCAACAAATTAAAAGAAACTGATAAAATAATGATAAAATTGTAAACAGCCAAGGCTAAAAATTTAAAGATACGTCTTGCAATTTAGTGACTGGAAAGTCTTGCCTGTAAAAATAATTTTTAATAATGATTTTAAGAACGTTTTATTATTTAAAAGAATTTTAATTAAAATTCCAAAAATAGGAAGTATTTCCACAAAAACGATTACATTATTTTCTCCTATAGTATACTTCTGTCCCTATATTTCATTACTAGAAGAATTTGCCCTTAACCACCCCCTGTAACAATTGTATCCTTTTTTAAATTTTGTGCCATAAACTAATTATCACACGTATAAATGAGGATTTTGAAGCCAGATTTGAATTCTTTATTTACAATTTTATACTCTGTACAAGTTTAGCTTATTTCTATATAAGTTAATTGATTAAGTGTTAAAACTTAAAATTTTGTGATATTTATAACTAGAGTACTCAATTTCTGTAATTTTTATCTGGGATCTAAAGCGTGACTTTAAAAAACTAAGCGTGGGCAAGGAATTAAGCAAGGTTTGAATGGTATCTTTTTGGACAGTTTTTGGTTCATAAGATAACTAATTTCTCGCTTAGCTAGTTTTTTTTGGTTTTACTACACGATAGACTTGATATTTTTTGACAAAGAAACTGCAACTGATATATTTATTTAATCTACGATAAAATGTTTGTTCCCGTTTTGATTTAATAAAAACTAGTTGAACAATGTATCAAATATAATCTCTTATGTTGGTTAGAGATGTTAAAAAAAAGTTTATCGGAAGCTATTTTTACTTGAAGGGCTTTCTTCAAAAAATAATGTTTGTATTTAAACATAACAATGGTTAGGACAAAATTGTCAACAGAATAATAGTCGTTTTCGAGCCTTGTAGCACATGTAACGGTTGCTAGGGCAAGCACTAGACCAAACAAATTTTTACACTTGGGGCTAACTATATTTTTCTTTCTAAGGGAGCAGTAAGCGTCTAAATTTAAAAAAAAACGTCTAAAAAAGTGAAAATTGTTCATGGGTGGTATTTTCAATTATGAAAGTATTTAAATCTAGTATTAGTGAAAGCATATTTCTTTGATTATTTTTTTATGTATACTTATTCATAAGAAACCTTGAATTTTTTGTTGACAAGACTTAATAATTAGTAAAAAAGCATTACCTGTTCAAAAATATGTCTCCAAATAAGTGGATCAGTTTGAATAAAAAGAGAACATGTATTCTTGTTATTGCCTTCTTCCTTTAGCCTTGTTGCTCGTTTTATTCTAATATTTTTATGAATCAGCAAGTTTGCTTCTTTGCTGTACTTGTGACCAGGATTCTTAAACTCATTAGCAACTATAACTTTGCTTTTAGTCTCATCGATTGTCGACCACTTTGAAACTACTGGTAGGACAAGTGCTTTGGGGTTAGCCGAATTTTGAATGCGATCCATCCACTCTGTAACTTCCTTAGTTATTCCACAGCCACTCGAATCTCCTAAAATTTATTTTTAAAATATACATACGCGTTGCAGTATAATAATGACTTAATAGACCGACAAGGGTATGCGTGAGCGCCAATATCAATTGTGTGTTAGTGTCAATTGTGTTAATACTGATAATGCAATAGACATTACACAATAAGTCTGAGAGTTAAATAAATAGTAAAGCATCTGAGAATAAAGAATAGTTTATTCAATACGATTAAGTGAATTTCAAACGAAGTAAAATCTAAATCAATCTCAGTATTAAAGCTATAGCCACTAGAATAGTATTACTTGAACTTGAACTCACAGTACATACAGTGAGTACTCTAAATAGCAATATCGGTCATAAAAATGTTGCAATAGATGGATGGTTTTAAAAGACATAAGTCTAGCATTATCATAAAAAAATTGTTCAATTTTTTCCAATTTTTCCACAACTTTTGTTATTTTAAAAATAAAATCAAGTTTGTGAAAAACAAGGTTTCTTCTAAATTAGAGTATAGTCTAGCCAAGCAGTAATATATTTTTAAAGTGAGAACTTCTCTAGGCACACCTGGGTTAGGGACCACAACGCTAGAAACGTACGTACGTACGTACATACATACATACATACATACATATATATATATATATATATGTCTTGCAACTCGGTGGCGTTTGGGTCTTATTATTAGCCCTTGGATTCTGCTACATATATAATAATCAGCACGTATTGTTATGTATATTCATACTGCCGTATTGTAGTATGTGACTGTGTTGTGTGCAGTGTGTACAAGTACGTGCATACATATTCTTGTGGGAAAAATCATGGATTGAACTATGAAAGTGTGCATGGATGAGTGTGTGTGTACTCTCTACTTCTACTGTGTAAATGTATACATGCCACCTGCACGCATGTGTGTACATAATATAGTAGTTAATATTAATATAACAAAGACTAGTTAATACTATTATGTCAATAAAATAAATTACTAAAAAATTTTTTCATGTATGGCAGATCGATGCAGACAGCCAGTATTAGTAAAACGGATTTTTGTAGAATGAAGTAACTTCCAAACATTAAGAAATATTGCATATCTTTGAAAGGAAGCAAAATAGAGCAAAAGGAACAAGTTTTACGGGTCTCCTTAAGGTTATGAAAAGTCGTGGATTACCAAAAGAGAAGCATTGAGTTATGTAAAAACGTAACCTCAAATTTTTATGTTTTCGATGTATTTTCATGAAATAAAGGAGGAAAATTATGGTAAAAATTATGTTACGTTTAGAACAGAGTAACATAAGGCAAAAATTATTTTCCATGGTCATGCGTGAACATCACCTCCAAATATTAACGAAATACGCCATGTTTTCAAAAAAAAGCAAAATAGACCAAAAATAACGAAAATAAAAGTTATTTAAAAAATGCAAAATCACTAACGGAAAGATAGATTGACCAATCATAACTACTTTTATGTGTGAGCGCGTGTGTGCAACTTCAATAAGCAATTTTATTGTTAATGAGCATGATGTTAATGTGCTTATCACAATACGCGACCTTTATGGCCAGAGTATAAGTACTATACACTTTCTGGAACAAACATCAATGAATATGTATATAAAAAAATTATTCCATTTTGTGTTCAAATTAGTTTTTGTTATTGGTCCAATACATCAAAAACTTTCAATCCCTTACGTTTTCAATCACAAACTCTGGCTTTCTCTCTTAATTCATACATGTTTTGATTATTTTTGAAGTTCTTACTTCTGCGATGCGTCACATGTGATGTCAGCATTGACAAAAGTAATGGTAATTTTTTAAGTCTCTGAAAGATTCTCAATACTTTTAAACATCTTACCTAACTGAGATGTGTGAGACTCTACAAAAGACTCAATACTCCCAGATGTAAAGCAACAATCGTCAACTTTGTTTATTACTTTATAAGTAGCAGTGTAGGGTACAACTTTGAAAATACCTGTATTTTCATTGATTTCTGAATTATTCCGTTGGTCAGTTTCTTTGAGCAATCAACTCTTAAATTAACTTAGAAAGTGTCTCTGTGGTAACGTTTAGAAACAAGATTTAGTTTCCAAGACCATAATAATGTTCTTTTTTTGTTGTTTTTTTTCACTCAAAAAAGAGACTGAATCATTGAAAAATTGATGGTTTACCGATCCTTATGGGGCGTGCAATCTGTGGATAATGTTCGTAAAACACAAACATTATCTTTATTACAACTAACGAACCTTAAAACGAAGACAAAGGGTTGAAGTTAATTAAAGTAACCTTTATATTTTAATAGAAAGAAAAAGAGGATTCTAGTCTAATGTGGTAAACAGGGACACTGGCGAGGTCCACTGTATCTTGGCTGAGTATAATTTCACTCTATAACATTCTTATTTATCTTCAATAACACAATTGATAAACAACTTAGGAATAAAAAAAAATCATCATTCCACAGCAATACATCAATGTTTGTTTGAAAATTTGCTAACCAATTATACACAAAGTAATATTGTAATAAATTTTTTCACTAAATTTAAGTAAAATTGACCAAAAATATACAATAGTTATTGATGCAGTAGTCAAACAACATTTTGTTTTAATAATAAAAAAAAATGAAAGGTACTGAGCCTATGAAACAGAACCAAATAAGAGTTGTAAGGCTAAGATGTTCTGCGAAGAGGTCAAATTATGTTGCAATTTATTTACTTAAATTCTGCCTTATCGTAAATAGTACATAGAAACAAAATTTAGTAAAATGTGTTTTTAATGCATCATTACTTATTTTAACATTTCGTTACACATCTTTAATGTTTTGGAATAAAAATATATTTATTCAGTCTTATTTGTTGTTTCAATTTTAGAGTTTTAAAACGAGTCCAGCAGTGAGTTACTTTGTTTAGAGTGGTGATACCACTAATAAGTTGTAGCAAGGTTTAACTGATATAAAAAAGCCGACAAAAACAACAGAAATATTTGTTTAATTATCAATACAGGCTGAAAGTGCATTTACATTAGCGGAATTACGCCACAAGTGATAGGTGGGGAAATCAGCGTGTTTTTAACATACCAATAAAACTTTTTGCAGAAATCAAGTATAACGAATAGTCAGCATATATTTAGTATTGTTAATACATTAAGAATACCTACTGCAATATTATGATTAGACGTCACCCGTTAAGCAAGTCGTCATGGTTTTTATCCAAAATGATTAAATCAGCATAGTATTTACCTAAAATAGTTAGATCACCATACATTTTTATCAAGGAGTTTATATTGAGCACGTAGAATTCACGAAATGTATAAACAATACGGGCTTAACGTGCCTTATCACTACAGAAAATGCTTTTAGTAGTATAGGCTGATAAATTATCTAATAGCGTTTTGACTTTTGACTCACATCTTTTAAAATTGGTCGGTCAGCACCACTTTAAAATACTAATCTGTTCTAAATTGCACGAGCTTTTTTTCAATACTTTATCATCAAAAGATTACTTTACTACACAAATTTATTCTTAGAAATACGTGTGAAAAAATACTGATTGCCATAAAAGCTCACATGGAACTTTTTTTATGTTTTTCTGTATGGATCTAAAAATTTGGCAATAGAAGTAATGAAAAACTTGAGCTGATTTTAGACAGTATAATTATTTAAAATCATAACGGTTTCGTTGTCGTTTGATAAAAAAAAAAATAACAAAAAAATAAAATAAACAAAAGAAAAAACTTATCGCTCAGAATACAAAAATTTTAATCAAATCACTCTGTCTGTCTGTCGTTTTTCCATTACCAGCGCGTTTATTCATTGAATTTCTGTACAAGTTGGAAAAAAACATAACGGAAACAAATTCAAGATAGTAAAATGAAGAAATTAGTTTGACATATTAAATAATCAAAACGGATTGTCGTCTGTTATTGGCGCTTGATCATGCTTGCTGCCGCCCGTTATAGAATTGTTGTTAATAATAAAGTTGTGTTGTTTCTATCTACCGTTGAATAGTATTTATCTGTTAAGTTAGGTTTCCTCGAGTGTTGGTATTGATGGCTACCTTTGGCTGCGTCTAAATAAGACATTTGTTCTCGCGATTGGGCCTTGAGCACTTTACGGTTAAGTTGACAGTTGTTGCTGCTGTTGTTGAGTTGAGTGCCATATCGAGATGTGGAAAGTGTGCCCAGGACTTTGCTACTGATGCCCTGATTGTGGTGTGTCATTCCCGTAATGACTCGCTCCATACAACCTGTAAGTGTGCGAGAGTATCAACTTCTGAAATAAGAGTATTATTAGAGCTGAAGAAAAAGAAACCCATGCTGCCTTGTAGGTGCCCTGAATGCGCTTATAATGGCGATAAAAGTCCCAGTCTGCTTAAGTCTGTTAAAACTCTAGGAGTCTGTGGATAAAGTGAAGGAGGCAGTCTTGTCCATGGCAGAATTGCAGGCTGGGTAAAGGTCATTAAAAAAGATGTAAATAAGCTTATTGCTGACATGGACCAATATTCTGCCATTAAGGTGACGGTTCGTAATCTGTCGCTGGATTTGAAACAGCTTACTTATGATATGACTATGCTAAAAAACTGTCCCCCTACACAGAGTAAATGCCAGCTGCAGGATACTATGGCTAAGTACCAGGAAAGATCGAAAAGAATGCTAAATATACTGCTATTTGGTGTAGCTAAAAATTCTAATAACGATAGAAATAAAGATATTTTCGAGGTTAAAAAGATCCTCTAATTATTCAAATTGCAAACTGAGCTGAAAATAAATAATATCTGCAGAATTGGTAAGCTGGCAAATGGTAAAATCCGACCTGTCATTGTGTGTCTGTGTACCAGGACTGATGTTAATGTTGTCCTCGCTGGGTGGCGTGATTTTCCGACTGGTATATCAGCTGCGATGGACCTGACGGCCACCCAAAAAAGCCTTTTTAAGCCCCTGCGACAAGAAGCCGGACTGTTTAATAATACTAGTACTGACATTAAAAAGACTGTAAGGCTAGTTAAGGGTGTACCTACACTTTGTACCATGGACCCCAAA